AACATTGCTCAGGACTTCTGCTGGTGATAGGGTGCTGCAGGTGCCTTTCTTTCTCCCTCCTCACAGATGACCCCTGGGGAAATAAAGTTTGCTGTGCATGTGGAGTCGGTCCTCAACCGTGTGCCCCAGCCAGAGTACAGGCAGCTGCTGGTGGAGGCTATCTTAGTGCTCACTATGCTGGTGGACATGGAAGTGCACACCATTGGTGGCATCATAGCTGTGGAAAGGATCTTGCATATGGCCAATGACCTCTTCTATGAGGAGCAGGTAAGGGCCAGGCCTCACACAGGAGCCACAGGTTGCACCCAGGGCCGCTGGCTGCGTTCCCTACAGCCAAGCAGCAGTCACCCATGCAGACAGTCCTGCCTGTTGCCCTCATTATGTTCATGGGGCACAGCAAATACGTAGCGTACTCCTCCCGTTGTTCACCATCAGTGTGTCACACTGCCTTATTCCTGATGCTTCCTTTCTCCTTCCCTGCCCAACATCCAGAAAGCCCTGGGCGCTGACGAGCACATGCTGGAGAGGGATCCCGCGACAGGCATCTGCAGCCTGCTGTACGATAGTGCGCCAAGTGGGAGGTTCGGCACCATGACCTACCTGTCCAAGTCGGTGGCCATGTACGTGTACGACTTCCTGCCCGCTGATGGCTGCTCCATGCAGTAGCTCTCACAACTCCTCACTCTGGGTTGCAGATGCTGCAGAAAGGTTGTTTCATATAGCTTATAAAAACGGGCATTAGGTAGCTTGCAGGCAGCCTGCGTGGCCATCTCTCCTAGTCCTGCCCTCTTGGTGTCTGAGCAGCTCTCCTGAAGAGCTCTGTGGGAAGCTTGCGTGGTCCTTAGCTGTGTGCAGCCTGGGCTGGCAGGGAAAGGCTGAGCTTCGAAGCCTGCTTGTGTTAGAAGTGTCTGCCTACACAGCTCCTTCGGGGCCATCACCCCCAAAGGTATGTGTGTTTGAGGGAGGTGGAAAGGGCCCCCTTCACCAGGCGTGTGTGCAGTGCTGCAGCGTGCCCTGCAGATGCCTCCAGCAGATTCTATGTTTTTAACCTGTTCTGTGCTGCTTTTTATTCCAAATCTGCAGGGTTTACACTAGTGTAGGCTGGAACTCTTGCTCTTCCTGCTGCTGGTGGAAAAGCTTAGAGGAGTACAGGGTGCCACCTGAGCCTCTCCCCCAGCACACCCAAAAGCAAAACGGTCTAACCCAGCCACAGCTCTGCTGCTTGGAAGTAGGCAGCCCATCTCACCGAAGATGGGGTCAGGGGTCCTGTATACAGAGCTGGGGAGGCTGTGGGAGCCAGGAGCATCCCAAGATGGTAACAGATCCCAGTTACCACCGAGCTGCGAGGACAGAGCTTCTGGCTGGGGATTGTCGGTGGCAGCCCTGCCATGCCCTCTCTGCTTCTGGCAGTGTCACTCATGGCCAAGTCACAGGCTCCCGAGCTCATACACGTCCTGTAGAGAAGCTTTGAGCTGGCTGCTCAGTTTGGTGTTAGCTGTGCCATCACAAATGTGCTGTGAATGCTCAGCTCTGCCCTCTGTCCCCATCTCCTGCAGCCTTGCACTGGAGAGGGGAGTGTTTCCCAGTTCTGCTCTATCCTGCAGGTCAAACCCCGCACAGGATAGTGTGGTCAGACTAATGGGGAACGGGCACACACACCGCAGAGTGGCAGGGTGAGTGAGGTTATAAAATCATAAATAGTTTGGGTTGGAAAGAACCTTTCCAGGTCATCTAGTCCAAACCCCCTGCAATGAGCAGGGGCATCTTCAACTATATCGGGTTGCTCAGAACCACAATCAGCCCAGCCTTGAATGTTTCCAGGGACAGGGCATCTACCACATCTCTGGGCAACTTGTGCTAGTGTTCTTCACCACCATCATCTTAAAACCTTTTTTCCTTAAACCACACATAAACCCTCTTTTAATTTAAAGAAGAGAGGTTGCCAGTGAAGACTGAGGCAAAAACATTGTTGAGTACCTCAGCATTCTCCTCACCCTCTGTTACTGGTTTACCAGTCCTACTCATCAAGAGGGTTTCGCTTTCTGTGACCCTGCTTTTCTGGCTGACATACCTGTAGAAGACCTTTTATTATTCTTCTTGTCCCTTGCGAAGTTCATCTCCAGATGTACCATGGCCTTCCTGACCCCTTTCCTACACGGCCAGGCAGTGTCCCTGTACCCTTCCCAGGATACCTGTCTCTGCTTCCACTGCCTGTGCGTTTTTTTGCATTTTAGTTTGACCAGGTCTCAACTCTTGCCTGCCTTTCCTGATTCCTTGCACATGGGGATTGAGAGCTCCTGTGCTCTATGGAAAGCATCCTTAAAGACCTGCCAGCTCTGTCTGTTTCCTTATCCTTGAGGGCAGTGTCTCAGGGGGTCACACAGCTCAATCCCTTGAGCAGCTGGCAGTTGCTTTCCTAAAATTCAGGGTCCTGACTTTTACTCTTTGCCTGACCTGTATCCCTCAGGACTGCAAACTGCCGGTGCGTGAGCATTGCAAGCCCAGGCTGCTCCAATCTCAATGTCACCAACTGACTCACTTGGGTGGGTGACCATCAGATCCAGTATTGCTTCCCCTCAGGTACAGGGCTGCCTATTCTGTGGTTTAAGAAGGTACCCTGCATGCACGCCAGGAGTCTCCTGGATTGCTGTGCTGGGTTGATCCTGGCTGGGTGCCCACTGCCAGCCAGAGCCGTTCTGTCCCTCCCCTCCTCAGCTGGACAGGGGAGAGAAAACACAATGAGAGGCTCCTGGGTTAGGATAAGGACAGAGAGATCATTCACCGGTTGTCATGGGCAATGCAGACTGACTTGGGGAAATGAGTTTAGGATAAGGACAGGGAGATCATTCACCAGTTGTCATGGGCAATGCAGACTGACTTGGGGAAATGAGTTTCATTTATTACCAATCAAATCACAGTAGGATAATGAGGAATAAAGCCTAAATCTCAAAGCACGTCCCTCCTCCCATCTTGTGGGCTCAGTTTTACTCCTATTTTCTCTGTGTCGTCCCCTGCATCGCCACAGGGGAATGGGGGTTGTGGCCAGTTCATCAGACATCTGGCATCCCTCCCTCTGCAGGAGGAGGACTCCTCATGCTCTTCCCCTGCTCTGATGTGGGCTCCATCCCATAGGGAACAGTCCTCCACAAACTCCTCCAACATGAGGAGCTGGCATTGGCTCTCCCAGACATGGGGGAGGCTTCTGGCAGCTTCTTACAGAATCCACCCTGTAACCCTCGTCCCCACTACCAGGCCCTTGCCACATAGACCCCATACAGTTGCCTGCAGCTTCTTCAGCAGCTCTTGGGGTGGTTGAGGTCCCCTGAGAGGATGAAAGGCTGTGAGTGCAGTGCTTCCTGTAGCTGGAGTCAGAAGGCTTCATCCACAGGCTCCCCTTGACAGCGTGGCCTGCAGAACCACAAGGTTCCCTTTGTTGCCTGGTCTCCAGTTCTTACCAATAAGCTTTCAACCTGCTCATGGCTATTTTTCAGAGACAGCTTTTCACAATTTATCCATTTTTAGATGCAGAGGGCAACACTGTTCCCCCTCCTTCCTGGCCTGTCCCTTTTGACCAGCTTGTAGCCATTGACAGCCATTGCACTTCCCTGGTGGGGTTCATCCCACCAAGTTTCAATAAAGGCAGCCAGGTTGTAGCTTTCTCGCAGCACAAGTCACTTCCAGCTCCTCCTGCTTGCTGCCCATGACGCATGTTTTGGTGTAGAGGCACTTCAGCTGGGCTGTTGGTCACGTCACCTTCCTTTGCCTGGTATTTCCCTCTTGGCTCCTGTTACTTCAGCATGTGCGTAAGACTAAAAGTGTGCTGCAGTGTACCTAGCATGTCTGAGAGCAACAGGCTGAGGGTCCTTGCCAGCCCCCTAGCTTTGGCATGTCGTCAGACAGCTTGTCTGGTATTATCCCACTCCACCTTTAAGTCTAGTTTAAAGCTCTGTCAGTCAGCCCTACTAGCCTGTAAACAAAGACCCCTTCCCCCTCTGAGAAAGGTGAATCCCATGTTATGCCAGCAGGCCTGGTGCTGTGTAGGCCATCCCATTATTGAATACCCCAAAACTGTGGCAGTGACACTAGCCACAGACCTAAGTATTAATAGACTGGGTCTGTTACTTCTGGACATGCTGCCTACAACTATAATGATGGAGTTACAAATAACCTGTGTTCCAGATTACCAACAGTGCCAAGGTCCTGAAGTCTCTTGATTGCCCTTGGATTATGAGTTGTGGCTTCATCATCACTCACTTGGAAGAGCAGTAATAGGGTAATAGCCTGAGGGCCATACCCGGCTAGGAAGTTTCCTAGTGATGTCCTGAACACAGGCCCCAGGGAGGCAGCAAGCTTCTCTAAGAGGAGGGTCTATCCAGCATACTGGACCCTCTGTTGCCCTCAGAAGAGAATCACCTGACCCTGTAGCACATAATTTCTTCCTCATGGAGGTGGTCCTGACTCAGGGGTTAGACCTTTCTGACCTTGGCAATGCCTCTGGGGTAGGGGGAACGTTATCTGTACCATGCACCGACTTGCCTTCCACCATCCAGAACATCGTACCTGTCATACAGAGGCACTTGGGAAGGTGGGGTGGGAAAGCAGGGGTTTCGCCTGCTGTACCCAGCGTCGACTTGCTCCCATTCACTCCTTTCCTTTAAGCTGCCACCTTTAGCCTGGTGGGGAAGAGAGTGGGGGACGGACAACCGCCAGCCCGGCTTCTCTCCCTGTCCTAGTAAAACCAGGAGGATGCGTTGGGAGCCGGCGGGGTGTGGACAGCGCCAGTAGGGAACGGCAGGCGTCCCCCGGCCGTATTCCGGGAGCGGGGCTGCGTCCTCAGGCGAGGGCCTCTTGTAATGGCGGCGCTGCTTTTGTAAAGAACGGCCACCGCGAGCCGAGGACACCCCGGTAAAACGCCTCCGACACGAGCGTGCAGCTGCTCCCCGCGCCCTGCCGTGCTGGGCGCCGCTGGGGCCGGGCCCGCGCAGGGACTGCAGCTCCCGGCGTGCTCCGGGGCCGGAAGTGCCGGTCTCGGCGTGCTCCGGTGTGGCGCAGCGCGGTAGCTCGGATGGCGGCGGCGCCGGTGTACGTGTACAGCCCGGAGTACGTGGCCCTCTGCGACTCCCTCTGCAAAGTGCCCAAGCGGGTCAGCGCCGCGCCGGGGGTGGCGGTAACGCGGCCCTGGGGGACTCCGGCGGGGGGGGTGTTGGGACCGCAGGGGTGAGGCCTGGGGTCGGAGGGCACCCCTGGAGTCCCGCCGGGAGGCCGGGGGGTGTTGGGGAGGTTGCCGGCGACAGCGGGAGCGTACGGAGAGGGCGCAGCGCCGCCCCCGGGCAGCGGCGATGTGGGGCCGGGCTCAACCCGCGCACCGCCTGTGGCCGGGACGCGGAGGAGGCACTGCCGAGGTGCTCCCCCCGCCCCACGCCGAAGAGCTACAGAGCCCGCCTCAGGCTGGCGCCATCTGAGCCGTGCTGCTCCTGGGAGAAGTTCCGGTTACGCCTTCGCTGCAGGTGGCTCTGCTGCCGTCTCTTTCGCGGGGCTGCTCACGGGCTTACTCTTTCTTTTCTTTAGGCCAGTATGGTGCATTCGTTGATTGAAGCGTATGCCTTACTTGACCAGATGAAGTAAGTACTCTCCTTTTCTGTTAAGAGAATGTTTTCTTCTCTGCTAAGGTGTGGAAGGTACTGGGTAGCTCGAGGGCTGCCCCTGCTTGCAGAATGATTCTAGGAGCCTGGCAGTGTGTATTTCTAGGATATAAAGGAAGTCTGAGTTTTGTTAAAGGGACAAGATTGTGGTAATTATGGAAAATTGGACAAAAAAAAAAAATGGAGAAAGTCCCACACGCCAGTTCAGCAGGGCCAGAGGTGCCTGTTGAAACTTTTTAAGGAATTTTTTTCTTTCTGGTCACTTTGCAAAATACGCTTTGGAAATATCTGTAGGTACCATTGCAGAGGTGAACCCAAAGGGCTGTTTGCCCTGGCATAGGGTTAGAAGTGCTCACCACTGGGCTAGCTTAAGGCTGGGAGCTTCTTGTGTTCTTCCCATAGCAACTGTGTTGCCTGCAGCTGCCCCCAGGGCTGAGGCTTGGAGGGAGCTTCTACATGTCACAAGATTTATTTAAACAGATTGCGAAGCACCACAACTTGGGAAAGGTGATGTGTGAATTGCTGAGGACAGAGACGGCCTCTGCTTTGAATGCAGGTGGAGTTAAGAGCGTGTGAGAGGTGCTGCTCAGCCTTCTGACCCATCAGGCTGGTGTCTTACTGCAGCACTGGGCTGGGCCTGGCCGTTGTCAACTCTGTTCTTTTCTCTGTGTGTAACCAGAGTGTTGGATGTGCTGGGCACTGCTTAAACTGGGAGAATATGCAGAAAAGGAAGAAAAACTTCAAGCAAAGTGGCAAGGTTAATGCAGGCAGCACCTGCAGGTGTTCCTCACTGGGGCAGGCACAGCAGATAGTGCCATGCTGGGGGAAAGGCCCACTCAGCTGATGAGCTTTTTCGCTCCAAATGATAGTCTGGTGTGAGAGGAGGTGGGAGTTTTGTTTGCTTTGTCAACAGCAGCTGGCAAAAGGCTTCTTGTTTGAGGAGGTTAAAGCTAGGTTTTCCTGACAAACCTTGGAGCTTCTTGTCCTGGATGTGCTCCCTTCCTCCTCTCTGCCTAGGATAGTCAAGCCTAAAGTGGCCTCCATGGAGGAGATGGCCAGCTTCCACACAGACGCCTACTTGCAGCACCTGCAGAAGGTCAGTGAGGAGGGAGACGATGACCATCCGGACTCCGTGGAATATGGACTGGGTAAGGATATGTATCTTCAGTGAGAGATTAACTGAGTATTAGGACCAGGATGCTTTCTGCTGACGCTGAGGTTAGACAGAGGGATGAGCTCAGGTGGGCTGTTTATGGGGGGAAACGCTGATAGGGTGCTGCTGAGCCTTGTCAGACTGGCGTTTTCAACTGTTGCCAGCAGAGGGTGCTGTCAGCCTCACACTGTCCCTTGCGTACCGGGAGCCAGTCCGTTTTGCTGCTGCTTTTAGGATCTCGGGCAGAACAGAAGGCCCTGACTTGCTGACTTTGGCTTCCACAGGTCTGCTGTGGTGAAGGACACATGCCTGAAGCTGCAGCCAGGCACCAGAGTCGTCCGGGTGTTTTCTGGGTGACTTTGCTTACCTCCTGAACAAAGGCCGCCACCTGCCTGCACTTAAGACAGCCTGAGCAATGCAGTAGTTAGCGCAGGCAAGATGGCTCTGCGTACGCTTAGCGTCAGGAGCCGGAAGAGTGACCCAGCACTGAGGCAGTGGTACACATTCTGCGCTGATCTCATGGGTTTCCCCTAGGTCTGCCCTTTGTGTCTCTGAAGTTTGTCTGTCTGGAGGCAGAGGAGCAGCCCTGGAGTTTTGCCTTGCCGAGGAGCAGCTTCAGGGAGGCTGCTGTCGGAATAGGTGAAGATCATAATCTAGCTATAGACCTGAGGTCTACCTAGGCATGTCTCCTTTGTGGAGTTCTTGTTTTTATGGGGGACGTACAACAGTGACTGTGCCATGGCTTTTCTCATAGGGTAGCCAGAGAACTGAGAGTGTTGTTGCAAGATGGATGTGAGGGGCCAGTAGGTTGGGCTAACCAGGCACACACATCATAAGTCGGATCAAGACCCACCTCTGAATGATCTGACTGCAAGGAAATGTTTTGGTTGTTGATATTTGTGGTGAGTTAACCTTGGCTGGCTGCCAGGTGCCCACCAAGGTACTTCGCTCCCCCTCCTCAATAGGGTACGGGAGAAAATACGATGCAATAGAACATGGGTCAAGATAGGCAAGATGGTTCGCTAGTTACCATCATGGGCAGAACAGACTTAGCTTAGGGATATCAGTTCAGTTTGTTGCCAATTAAAAACAGAGTAAGACAGTGAGAATTGAAAACAAAACTGAAATTACAGTCCCCCTCATCCACCCTTCTTCCTAGGCTCAACTTCACTCAGAGTTTTTTTGCCACCTTAAGCAATGCAAGGGGATGGGGAATGGAGGTCGTGGTCAGTTCATCATGTGTTGTCTAAAGCAACAACACAGAGGGACGTGGAGCTGTTGGAGTGAATCCAGAGAGGGCCACAGAGATGCTGCAAGGGCTGGAGCAGCTCTGCTGTGGAGCCAAGGTGAGAGAGCTGGGCTGGTTCAGCCTGGAGAAGGGAAGGCTCCTTAAGGGGAGACCTTATAAAAGTCTTCCAATACTTAAAGGGGGCCTGCGGAAAATCTAGAGGAGGGACTTTTTACAAGGGCCTGTAGTGACAAGACAATGGGAAATGGTTTTAAAGTAGAATGGGGTAAATTTAGGTTAGACATTAGGAAAAAATTCTTTATTATCAGGGTGGTGAGGTGCTGGCACAGGGTGCCCAGAGAAGCTGTGGCTACCCCATCCCTGGCAGTGTTCAAAGCCAGGTTGGATGGGGCTTGGAGCAAGCTGCTCTAGTGGAAGGGGTCCCTGCCTGTGGCAGGGGGATTGGATGATCTTTAAGGTCCCTTCCAACCCAAGCCAGTCTGTGTTTCTGTGGTCTGCTCCACTGTTAACCATCTTGGGCTGCAGGAGTTTGTGCTACACCTTTTTCATTGTGACTGGTATGGAAAGTTAGAGAAGTGATTAAAGACAGAGCTCAGAAAAAATCAGATGTGCTTCCTGCAGAGGAAGAGGCCTGTTGCGTCTGACACACGGACTCCTGCCCACAGGTTATGACTGTCCAGCTACTGAAGGGATCTTTGAGTATGCGGCAGCTGTGGGAGGAGCCACCATCACTGCAGCCCAGTGTCTGCTGGATGGCAAGTGCAAGGTAGCCATTAACTGGCCTGGAGGGTGGCATCATGCAAAGAAGTAAGAAAACAATCTCTTCCCTTGTGTTTTCTCAGCCAGTGTGTGAACCCTACTCCTAGTTCCCAGCTTCCCTTTGAACCCTCAGGGTGCAGCCATCCAGCTGGAAGAGAAAGCAGGATGTGAGAGGGGTGAGGGAAGAAGGTCAGGAGGTAGCCTTCTGCCCTATACTCTGCAGGAAGAAGCAGAGTATAGGGCAGAGGCCTGAGAGTAGGCATGTTACTGCCCAGTCCTTATGCTATCATGAACCACAGTGCAGGTCTGGGGCAGATAGATTCAGAGGTGTCCTGACATCCATGGATACTTGGTTATCTCTTGGAGTTTAGTGAGAACTGATTTTGCAAACTCCATAGAGAAGGGCTGTGGAGAGGTAAATGCTTGTTGTCACTCCTAACTTGGAAGAGAATGGGAACGCATTGTCCAAATTGGTCTGCGTGGCCTTTTGGTTTCTTAAATAAGAGGTCTGAAGCAATGCAGGACTGACCACTGTTCTCTCCATGCTCTTTGGGTGGCTTTTTGTTCTGATCTCTGATGTTAATAACAATCTTCAGAACAACAGGAGAGGAAGTAAAAATTTTATCCCTGGATTGTGTGGTTCTCTAGTGCTAAAATAATTTTTCCGTGGCCTGTGTTTTGTATGTTTTAACTCATGTCCCCCATCTCCCAAAACATGAGGCCTGTGTGCAGATGCAGACAGGATGGCACCCTTCCTTGTCCCCAGCAATCTGGCCTTTGCAGCACCATTCTCTTTCCCTGCGGAGCCCCAGCAATCAGCAGGAGTCATGTCTTGCCCTAAAGACTTGCACGTGGGTGTGCAGATTTCTCTTGCTCCAGTGACTCTTCTGACCTGGCAGAGGAAGCAGAGGTGTAGCAGTGGGTGCAACCACCAGCGACACCGGCGTTGTACTGGGACCTTCTTCGTGGTCAGCACTTCACTGAATATGGGTTCGGCTGCAGCTTGCTGGGGAAGGAGAGGGTCCAGCCTGGCCGAGCTGAAGCTCTTCACAGGAGGGATGCCTTTTAAAGATCTTCTCTTTTATCTTGATTGCACAGTTCATAAAATGCCTGTAACAGAAGAAACCTTTGCGGTGTTGTTGCCACCAAGCTGTGCTGTTACCCCTATTGTGGGATGCAAAGAGTGTTTAAAAAAGGCACTGAATACCTGCTGATCTCAAAGGAGCCTTCCCAGTCACTCCAGTGAGGTGGTGTGGGATGCTCAGGGCAGGCAGCAGCTTTGGTAGGTGCCAGTCCAGTGTGAAAGTTCAGCAAGACAGATGCTGAGCTGCCGGTGTCTGGTGCTAGGACCTGTGTTCTAGCAAAATACATACCCTTTTGTCAAAAAAGACTTGCTGTCTGGCGCCTTAGTTATTTACCTGAAGGTAGGAATGGTAACCGCTGTCACCACGCTCAGTTCCCTGGAGTGCCTTTGAGGCAGAGGGCAAGATGCTGAGTTGGTGCCTTTACTTGACCTCTGCCTGAGCTCTGCTGTGTGGATCTGGGGTGGGGAAATCCCAGGTGCTTTCCTTGAGCTGCAGCTCTGATGCTGGTCAGCCTCTGAGCTGGTGTCATGCTCTGTTTGGCCTCAAGGTTGAAAGAGTTAGTGTATTACGTCATGGAGAGAGTGCCTGAGACATGATGTAGTTCATTTTGCTTTCTTGCAGGCTGGGAAGGCAGGGAGGAGTGTGGTTTGTAATCACAGTTAAGGAAGATTCCCAGGGTACCTGCTAGCGTCCCAGTTCTCAGCATCACTGTAAATGAACAGAGTCAATGGGAAGCATCTGTGCACTGTGACATTTGCAGGGAGTGAGAGCAAGTGCAGTTATGCTACCTCATACCTGCTACTCAATGTTCCCAGCTGTTTGCTGAGCAGGGGAGTGTCAGGAAATGACTGGAATGCTGTGGCTGAAAGTCAGGAAGCATTTCAAAGAGACACATCTCAGATCTTGGAGTCTTTGAGCCTGGGGAATGGGGTTTTGGACACTCCTGTTGCAAAGTGTAAAGCTTTGGTTTAAATCAGCTCTCCAGGGCTGACTAGGAGTGAAATGGGCTACTGCCAAGCAGTGCCGGGGACTTGACTTAGAAGAGAGTTTGGAGTAGGGATTAATAAACTTTTTCCTGTGATACCAGTGGTATGGAAGCTGCCCCCGATGTATGTTAGGGATGAATAAATCTTTCCATGCAATGTCTGTCCTCTTTTTAGCTGTTGTGGCTGTTGTCTGGCTGAGCCCAGGAGTTGCACTGTGAGGGACTGCCTTGTGGGGTATCCTGTTTGTGTTTTCCTGGGGAGGAAGGGAGAAAGTTGCTTTGGGAAGAGGCTTAACCTCCATACCCTAAGGGCCAAGCAGGACTGTCCAGGGGCCTGTTCTCTTGCTGCAGAGGTAGAGGAGGTAACAGTGGAGAGTCTGTTTGAGTTGGGTGGCTCTGAACTTACTTAAAATACCTCAGCTGCAGAAAGCAGAAATTTTATTTGTGCAACAGCAAGATGGTCAAGCCCAAGCCCTCCATGGCTCAGGCCTCCTTGCGGCAGGGCCAGACGATGCTTTACCAGCTGCTAGCAAGCCCAGGGTTGTGAAGCCATTGGCACAATGAGTCATATTCTCTGTGCTCCCCAGCCATGCTTTGAGCTGTTTCTGACCCGTCCTTTGATTCGTGCTGGGCCTTGGCTGGGCTATTCATACTCCTCTGTGCACCCACAGGGTGGAGACTTGCAAAATAAAGGAGATAATGACAAGATCAGATTAGTGGTGTGTTGACTATATGCAAACTCATGGATGTTGTTTCCACAGAGATGAAGCTTCTGGCTTCTGTTACCTGAATGACGCCGTCTTGGGCATCCTGCGGCTGCGCCAGAAATTTGACCGTGTCCTTTATATCGACTTGGATTTGCATCATGGGGATGGTAAGGACCAGTGCAGGCTGCAGACAGCACAGCAACATCGCTGGTTGGGGGGGGGAAATGGGGGAAATCAAGGCATGTCAGTGCAGTGGGGCTGTACCTGCTGCAGCAGTTGTGGCTGTGCCTCCTTTCAGTGCAGTTGAGTTCCCTCAATCCATTTCTGCCTTGTCCTGCTTTATGGACTTGCCCTGTGCTACTCATCAGACCTCTCTTGAGGGTTTGGGCAGAAGTCTTGTACCTAAGGCAACAAATATCATGTTCATATCCCAGTAATCCCCTGTGCTAGTGGCTCTCCAGCAAGAACTTCCCCCAGTCCCTTGTCTCCCCTTCTGGCAGAGCAACTGCTGACAGTGTTTGATTGATTGATGCTACCAGTGCAAGAGGGAAGCAGTAGTAAATGGTGCTTTTAAAAGAGTTCTTGATGCTATAATATGAAAGCTAGTGCTGGCCATGCTGGAATCACTCTCTCTTTCAGAAACATTATTTCAACACCATTTAACATTTCCTGCTCTTGTGAATTTTACGATGTGTTTCATTTTGCTCTGTTTCTCCCCTACATTTGGTTTCTGTTAGGTTTCTTGTTACTTCTTTTTCCCTTCCCACCCCAACTGTTTTAATGTGTCTTTAAAGAAAAGAAAAGGTATACTTAATTGCAGCAGTGCTGGGGAAAAGCCAGAGAGCCTGGGTGCTCTGTTTCTAATCACAGCCAAGCTCTGGCCAAGGCATCCCTGCTAAGCTTCCTCCCCCAGCCTGGCAGGCCCAGCAGTGCGGACCCTGAGTGCTGCTAATGTGGGCGCTGATCTGAGGCATTGAGACCCATTCAGTACCAGTACTGATTAGCATGAGACCTGCCAAATTCTTTTCAGTTGTGATCTTTGTTGCAGTCAAATTTAGATCTCCATTGGTTAAGGATGGAGTTACTGAGCCACATCTGGTTTTTCCCTTTCTTTGTTCTGTTCTTGCTCTGTTTGCAGCGGCATGTTTATCAAGTGGCTCATTTATCCAGTGGCTGTCATTTATGTGAATGATGCTTGAAAGCTTTTTCCTCTTCCTTTTCCAATAGGAGTTGAAGATGCCTTTAGCTTCACCTCAAAAGTAATGACTGTTTCTCTGCATAAGTTTTCACCAGGATTTTTCCCAGGCAAGTTGAACACTAGGAGGTTTGTGCTAATGCAGTTCATATGTAGAATTGTAGAATGGTCAGGGTTGGAAAGAGCCTTAAGATCATCACTGACAAGGCCCCAGCAAAGACAGGTCCCATCTCTTCTGTCCGATGGAGGCATCTCACTGCCTCTGCTGTTGACCCAGAAGAAGGAAAGAAGGGGAGCTATATGTTTGACATTTCCCTCTTTGTGGTTGTAGCTGAGCTTGGCAGAGCCACTGCTGGGTGGCCACCTGCACACCTGTGAAAGTTGCACAACAGAATTGGGCAGGGGGTGAGAACCAGGTCCACCCAGGCCCTCCTTTTATTGGTGGTGGCAGGTGGACTTTTCCATGAGCATGCCAAAGGTCTGAGCTCTCTGCTGTCATCTGAGACATTTCTCTTGCTCCTGATCTGCTTCCCTTAATTCACCATGGGGTGTTTCTCTTTTTCAGGCACCGGGGATGTGACAGATGTTGGCCTGGGGAAAGGTCGCTATTACAGTGTGAATGTACCCATTCAAGATGGCATTCAGGATGAGAGATATTACCAGATCTGTGAAACGTAAGCCCTCTTGCTTTGATCTGGTTTACTTGGATGGGATTTTATAGAACCTAGACTGCACAGATTTTTTTTATTTACTATTTGAAATGATGGTCCTTTCTTAAGGAAGGACCTTCTCCTGTTAGAGATTTTGGTTATAGCAAACACTGATCTTAAGGGGTCTCAGAGGTCTTGTGTGAATCCTTAAGCAAACTGAACATACAGAGGCATTTGTGGATGTCTGGAGGGTCTCTTTGCCATGGGTCAGCCTTGTGTGTTTAAGGAGAGACTGAGAAGGACTCTCATGGTTTAAGCCCGGATGGTAGCTGCTGGCTCGCTCTGCCCCACTCGCCAGTGGGATGGGGAGGAAAATCAGCAAAAATGTAAAAACCTGTGAGATGAGGTAAGAACAGTTTAGTAATGTAAATAGAATAAATTCTTGTAAAAAATAATACTAGTTAAAAAGGGAAATGAAGAGAGAGGAAGGAATAAACCCCACACCCTGCTGAGAGAAGAACAAGTGATGCCCAATATCATTGCTCAGCACTTGCTGACCAGCCCGACCCAAGCAGCGACCCAGCTCTTCTGGATAACTCCCCCGAGTTTCTGGACTGAGCATGACGTGCTGTGGTATGCAAGGAATACGCCTTTGGCTATCTCAGATCTGGTGTCCTGTCTCTGCTTCCTCATGGCTTCTTGTGCCCCTCCTCATTGGCAAAGTACAAGGGACTGAAAAGTCCTTGATCAGGGTAAGCGCGACCAAGCAACAACTGAAACATCCGTGCATTACCAGCGTTATTCTCAGAGTAAAGGTGAAATTTGGCACTGCACCAGATCCTAGGAACAGAATTAACTGCTGCAGCTGAAATCAGGGCAAGTACCTTTTAGCTGTGGAGTTGAACCCTGACCATCAGTGGGAGATCTGCTTGGGCCTGAGCTGAAAGTGTTTTCCAAGCAGCTTTTGTTTTGTTTTCACATCTGTTTCTACTTTACCAAGATAAAAACACTTGTGGAAAGACCATGTTTTTCTCCATTATTTTTCCTTGTATTTTGGGCTTTGGAGCACAGTGCTGCAAACAGGATTGTTATCTCTGTGGTGTTCATAATACCAAAAACCTGGAGCAAAGCCAAGTGTCTGACATGCCCAGCTGCCTTCTGCAAGAGAGAATACTGCTCATGAACTTTCTCCAGGCACCTGAGCATCACTAGAGCCAGGGAAAATGTGTTTCTGACTTGAGCCATATGGGAGAGAGGAGAGTGGGAACCTAGACAGAGCCTTCCTTTCTTCATCTTGCCCTGGTGAGAGGTGTCTGAGAGTTTAGGATTACTATTTCTCTAGACCTTTTGTTTCACTGTGACTTTTATAGGGGAGAAAAGCCCCTGGGTTTGGCTTGCAGCACTTCCACTAGGAGCAGCTGATGCAAACATGTGGTTTGGAGAGCATAACTTGTGTGAGGGGGTGGGAGCAGAGAATGCAGAAACGTTGAGAAGCGTAAGTTGATCTGAGGGACCAAGGCCATACCACCAGCACCCTCTGAGTTGTGTCTGTGGTAACCCCTGTTGCTGCTTCTCTTCACAGTGTGCTAAAGGAGGTGTATGCCGTGTTCAACCCGGATGCAGTTGTGCTGCAGCTGGGGGCAGACACCATCGCTGGGGATCCCATGTGCTCTTTCAACATGACCCCTGAGGGGGTGGGCAAGTGCCTGAAGTACGTCCTGCAGTGGCAGCTGGCGACCCTTGTCCTGGGAGGAGGTGAGTGTGCCCGTCCTGCTGTTTGGTCATGAGGAAGACTGGTTTGTCTCATGGCCTGTCCTCAAGCAGGTGTCTTGAGCTCAGCTCTGGCTGGAGTTCAGCAAGGTGGCTGCAGGCAGCACCAGGAGAGTGCACTGTGCCGTGGTGCAGTCTTCACACAGACCTGAAGTCCTTGATGCTGGCTAATGCAAGTCTCAATCCTGACCTTCAGATCTTGAGTTAAAGGGTCTTTGGCCCTTCTGGAGATGAGCAGAGGCTGTTAACCGTGATGAACTGACGTTGGCTTCTCAATGGCACCTCTGATTCCCATCTCTGCTCATCAGCCCTTCAGTGCTTCTCCTTGAAAGTGAGCACTGTGTTCCCAAATTTACCTTGGGCATCTGGCAATGAACGATTTACTCAAGCAGGGACTTGGGAAACGGGTTGGCCATCTGAATGATGCAGCAGGGCTCTGAAGGCTAAAGATGACTTAGTTCTGTCATACTGCATCACCAGCTGCTTATCCAGGAAGACAGGCTTTATACAACAGCATTTGAGATCAATAAAACTCACTGAGTGCCAGGCTGTACCAATGAGCTTCATATTGGTCCTCTCAAACATGACACGGCTGAAGAGCTCACCAGCAAATGGCCTGACATGTATATCATGATTTATGGGTTGGAGGCTGGTATTATAAAGCAAGGATCCCCCATGGCCACTGCTACCCTTGCACTTCCTTCTCTGCTACCTTTGATCCCCCCTCGTTGTTGCCAGGAGAGAGCCCAACACATGGGGTTGGCAGTTATGCTGGGTCTGAGATGATGACTGGAGGACCCAGGCCTGTGCCATGCTGGGTGTATCTGGGGTACAGTTTGTGAGGTCTGCCCTTACATACAACGTCATTCCAACTTGGCCTTGTGTAGCCAGCGGATGCAACATGCAGGGCACAGCCTGAGTGGGTGGAGCAAGCTGAATTCATGTAAACTGTGTGTGTTCCTTTCAGTAAAATCTCCCTCTTCTCCCACTCTCCCTCCTCCAAAATCACAAATCTTGCTGGAGACAGGAGGCTACAACCTTGCCAACACAGCTCGCTGCTGGACATACTTGACTGGGGTCATCCTTGGGAGAACATTGTCCTCCGAGATCCCTGATCACGAGGTAAAGCTTTGACAAACCCTTCCTTCTCCATGCACAAGAGCTGAGTTGTTCCCCCTAATCCTTGGTGCTCAGTACTGTTCTGTTGAGACACTCCTGTAACAATAATGCACTGTCCTAGCAATGTAGTGGGTGTTTGGTCCCAAACTCTGGGGCTGTCTACACCTTTTCATAAGGAATTGCGATTGCCAGTAACTTCTAGTCTGTGATAATTATGGAGAAGATGGGAAAAGGAAGTCACCCGTATGCTCAGAGAGCTCTTCTGGATATGCATGTGCTTTTTGTGCCAGACCTGTATGAAGGCTTTACGTTTTAGTCCTGCTTTCATAAACTTACAGGAAGTACCAGGAGTAGCTTTGGAGCTTTTCTGACCATCAGTGCTGCAGTGGGTGCTGTAGCGGGCTATGGGGCCAGGTACTCGTCACGACTGCACATGAGCTGCCTCAGTTCCCATCTTGAGTGGGGCTGGGCAGCTGGTTGGAGAGGCACAATCTAGACTGAATCTGGATGGAATAGCTACAGATTCATAATAGGTCTCAAAATGCAGATCAAAGTTATTGACCCTACAGAAACAAACCCACATGTGCAAAGCAGTTCCAGCCTGCAGTGACTCAGAGGAGAATTATGGGTTTGCCTTTGTCTAAGGATCTCATGGATCAGTATGCATGAGGAAGTAAAGCTTTTTTGTGCATTGAAACTGGAAATTCATCATTCTATAAACTGGTTATTACAGCTACGAGATGCTTTTTGAGAGGTGTGCTTAAATAACTTCATTTTCCTTGTCAGTACTGGCATGTTGAGGTCTGCTTGGAGAAGCCATTGCTGCCTACGCTAATGGAGAGATGTCAGTCTTGGGTTGCCAGATCTGCCACCTCCAGTGTCACCCTTAAAGTAAACCTCAGCCCTGTGCATCATTAATCACCTGGGAGACTGTGGTTCTGTGAATGTCCCTGTCTGGTGCAATAGCTTGAAGTCCAAACTAGTTTTCAATGCAGTGAAGCTCCAGGGATAGCAATAGGACCTACTGCAACTTCAGCACTGAATTTTTAACCCTAGAGTGTCGTCGTCTTTGGACAGCGCTGTGTGCTTGTGAAATGAACCTGTTGGCAGTGATTTGGGATTCTGCATTACCATGTAGAGTCCATATGCTGCAGATTTTCTCATTCAGGCTCACCTGCACGCTATTGGAAAGACACATTATTAACCTTAAAGAACTTTTGATTTTTCTCCTTCCAAGTGTTTGACAGTCATGTCAATGCAGCACTCTGAAAGGTTGTGTGGACATCTGAAAGGATATCTGATAGGCAGCACTTGAATTTTGTTCATAGAACACCCCCGCCCCCCCCCCCCCCCCCCCCGGCCCCAAACAAATGGGTTTGCAGGGAACCATGAGTAAAATGAGTGTCACCAGCTTTGCCTAATAAAGCACTGGGAGAGACATCTGCTTTTGGCTGCACCACAGAGTTCTGCTTCCCAAGCCCTTCAATTGATAGTGGCTGCAAACTTCCAGTGGGCACAGATGCTGCAGAAGCACCTCTTTGACACAGTTAAGGTACATGTGCACCTCAGGTGGAGAAAATGCTCTTCTCTTTTTACAAATGGGTCCCCATAGGGAACGCTCTCACAGCCACAGCCCACCAGAGACCTCTACACTCACTCTGCTCTCCTCTTCCTTGCAGTTCTTCACAGAATATGGTCCAGACTATGTGCTGGAGATCACACCGAGCTGCAGACCAGACCGCAACGAGCCACAGAGAATTCAAGAAATCATTAACTCAATCAAAGGTGAGTTGTCCAAGCCAATGGTCCTGCTCCAGGCTGACAGGTCCTCTTAGAGAGGACTGGCAGGAAAGCTCATAGGAGTCTTTTCCACAGACTAGAAAGATGAACCACATTCTTGACTTGCCAGTGTTTCCCTGTCCAGTCACTGGGGACTTCACCTGGTTGTCATGACTTTTCCAATAGGATGATGATTATATTTTTCAATTATGGTCTTTCACCATAACTGGGAGTCTCACCAGTTCTTCACAAACCTGATCTTACTTTTAAACAAACCCCCCTTAATAAGGTGACAGAACCCTTTGGTGCACCAAGCTGCTGCAGAATTGAGGACTGGATCCTGAGTGCTTTCCCCGGGGTCCCACAAAGACCCAGCTATTCTTCTTTTTTATTTCAGGCCTAATGAGAGCCCCTGGTCTGCCTTTGGCAGGAGTATGTGTAGTGTCCTTGGGGCCACCTTCTGCAGCATCCTTCCACTGGCCCTTGAGGCAGAGCCAGAGCTGCCTTGCTCTTCTCAGAGCTTCCTGCAGGGCTGGGCCTTGCCTGAGGGCAAAGATGGTTCCCCACCTGATCTCCATACATCTCCTAGCCAGGCAGGAGATTGAAAGCTGTTGGGAGTCGAGGGTAGGCAGCTGGGTGAGCCCAGCAAGCTCCTGCCAGCCTTGTTTGATGCCCTTGCCCATCTGTCTTGCCCCTGTCCCCAGGAGGAGCTGGAGGTAGTGAGACAGGTCTCTGCAGCCCTTTCCACTCTGGATGTTGTGATGTGTTGGTGTTCAAAGCAGAGTAGGAGGTGGGTAGGAGATGCAGTGGCTGCGGATGCCTTGAGTTGTACATTTCCAAGCACAGGTCAATCCTAGGGAGGGGACATCCTCCTCGACCTGTCCAGGAGAGGAGGAACAGCACTGCTCCAGAGTTGGGAGGGATCTGTGCTGCACGCTTCTGGCAGTGCATCCGGCACAGAGGAGGGACAAGGCAGCCTGGAGTGAGTGTGTGCCCCTCCAGTGCTGGCCCATGTATCCAGCCAGGCCAGCTGCAGGTTGTAGTGGGCAGTGGTGGCAACATCTCCCTTTGGTAGTTGCCTGAGTCTGACTGGGAGGAGGGCAGCAGCCTCTGCAAAGTGAGAGAGGGGTGAGCAGGGGCTGCACTGAGGCTGTCCAGGCTCTCAGGCATAAGGATGGCACCACGGCCCCTGGCAGACTGAACCATCAGTGGAAATCCAGTTTTCTGCCTCATTTTATTTGCAGGAAATCTGAAGCACGTTGTTTAGCAGAAAAGGAAGGTTCAGGTTTCTGCAAGAGCATTTCCTGTGGGCAGCATGGTGTGTTTATGTGAGCAGCAGTGAAATTCGTGGCTGTTGGGGAAATCTGGAAGAAATTACTGGTAGTTGGTGATGTTTTTCTCTTCAAAGAAGAAAAGCTGCTGTGCACCATGGGCACTGTGGCTCTCCTCAGGCAGGAGTCTGGGCCCTGGAGCCACAGGCTTCCAGTGTCTGCAGAGCCTCCCTTGCTCCTTCCTCTTTCCTTCTTCAACACCACAGAGTTTATTCTCACAACTAGTTTTAAATTTTTTTCAAGAGAGCTGTGACCCAGGCCCAGCACCGCATTGCCCTGGGGGCAGGAGCACGGCCTCTACACTGCCCTGCTGGAGACAGGCCCAGGCCCGGCCAGGGCATGGGGCACAGCCTGTGCCTCTGCCCAGGGAGGGGCCCAGCCAGGATGTTTTTAACTGGGACTTTTTTTTTAATCCAGTATTTGAAATACTCCTCAGCCCTTCCCTTTCCTTTCCTCCTGCGCTGCACTGCCCTGCTAGTGCTTTTTCCACAGCACTTCATGCATTTGGTGCTTAATGCAGCACAGACACCCCTGCCTTGGGCCATGGTGTTTTCCAGGGATGCTCTCTAGAGCATCAATGGAGATGCAGGGCAGTGTGGCAGCTCTTGTCCTTGGAGATCTCGCCTGAATGCCCCAGCACCCCAGGAGAGCTGCTGGCTGCATCCTCAGCAGGGGGACAGGTACACACACATGGGGCCTTGGGCTGTGAAACCTTCCTCTGCTGCCACTGTCCCCTCCTTCACTGGGTCCGTAGAGCATTTTATTTGTGGTGTTTCTTGTTAAAGATGTCTGGTCACTGTGGGAAAGCGTATTTCCTGTGGCTTTAACTAGAATATGCTGGAATAAATAGGAAGACCAAAGGGACTTGCAGCCTGGTTTTGTTTTGATCTCTTGTTTTTCATCCAAACGCCACACTTGGGTTAAGGAAAGCCCCTGACTCTGTAAGGTGGTGGTGGGGGAATCCACAGAATTACTGGGGAAAGAACCTTCTAGAAATGCCCCCAAACCACCTTCAAATGTTGCGAATTACACTCAAACCACCAGCTCCCAAAGTGCAAACATCCAGCCCTACTCCTAAGCCTAAGGTGCCTGCAGGACAGAATGCTGCTGCTGGGCATCACCTACACACGGTGTCCTCGGGAACAGCGCTGCCAGTGTGGCAATCCACCCTTGCTTAGCCACGTGAAAGTCCATCTGTGCCAAGCCTCCCTGGGCAGCACCCTCAGCCAACCCAGAAATCAGCTCCCCAGGTGCAAACGTTCAGCCCCTGCTGCTAAGCCTAAGGTGCCAGGACAGAAAGCTGGTGCTTGGCGATGATTCGGCAGAGGAGCAGGTGAGTAGAGGATGGGGGTGTCCTCTGAAGAAAGGGGGGGTAACAGCTTCATTTGAGGCTGGTGCCCCCGAAAAGATCTTTCCGTGATGGGCTGTACTTGTGGAGCCGGAGCCGCTGCGGTGGCCCCAAAATACTCCACCCCCCGATTCTCCGTCTGCAAGGGTTGGGGCGGGGGGGGTGCTGGTGGAGGAGACACCCCCAAAACTCGGTACGGCTGGGGGGGGGCGGGGCGCGGGTGTGGCGCCCTCTGCTGCCATTAGTGTGCAGAGTTCGCTCCTGCAGCCCGGGCTCGCTCCCTTTGTCCCCGCTGCTGTCCCTGGAAGCGGCCGGTGTCACGTGGTGGCTGCTGGCTCCCGGTGAGCAATGGCCGCCGCTGGTCCACGTTGGGGTGCGGGCGGCCGCAGCCCGGTGTTCGCGCACGGGCTCCGGTCCCTCCGGCGCCGTTTGTTGTGCGATTGCGCAGCCCCCGGGAGTAGGGTAGCGGCGGGCAGAGTCTGGGTCCCGGCAGGGGCGGCAGGAGGTGAGTTCCGAGCTCAGCGGGGGTCTGGGGTTATCGGGGAGGCGAGCCCACCCGCCCGTCCCTTGGGTGGACGCAGTGGGGCGTCTTCTGCCCGCTGGCCGCCCGGCGCGGGAAGGCTCACAGCGGCCGGTGCGGCCCGGTTGCGGTCTGCCGGGGACGAAGCGGGCCAGGAGCCCCCAGTGCGCTTGATTCTGCCTTCATATCCCTTGAATCTCAAGCGCCTCGGAGGCTCATGGCCCGGCATCCTGCGCCCTGCCACTGTGCTCTCTCTGCCTTTGCCTTGGTTTCAGCTGCAGCAGAGTTAATTCTCTGCCTAGGATCTGGTGCAGCTCTGAGATTCACCTTTACTCTGGGAATAGAGCTGGTAACGCACCGATGTTTCAGTTGTTGCTTGGTCGCACTTACCCGGTCAAGGTGATGTGGACTATTGTACAAGGGGGGTTAGGTAAATTGTACAGGGGGGGTATTGCTTAAGTTACATGGCTTACTCAACAGATACATCGCTCAGCAAAAAACTATTGTGCCTTACCAAGAGAGTTAGGGTTAAGGAATGATTTATTAGGGGCTGCAGCTGCTTGCGAAACAATGTACATTGCTTGCTTAATGTTTCTTGCGCTTGCCAAAGGAGGATGGGAGGATGCAAGACTATTGATAAGAGGAAGGAACCGTAACTTGGTTCCTGGTCTCTGGACCCCTAAACCGGCTGAGGCTATCTTTGCGGTTTGGATGGTGGCCAAACAACCAGGGAGCATGAGCGACGACTAAAGGTAAAAAGTTCAGGTCCGAGGAAGACTCATTTACCTCATCTGAAGACCCTTGCCCACGACCACGAGGAGGCACTGCGCATGTGCAAAGGACCTTTGAGCTCATTATACTACGAAGCAGGGATAGGACATGAATATGTATAGGCGTATTGTGTAACCTAATGCATATGTAGTACTTTAGAGGATAAATATCAAGGAGAGCAACGCTGGGGTGCACATGCTTTTGGAGGAGCAATCCGCCATGCGCCTCAGCTGAATAAAGGCATACCTACTTTACAACTTTAACGAGTTGTGGAGTCTGTCTCCGTATCAGAGGACTTTTGGGTCCCTCGCGTTCTGCTGGTGAGGAGGGGCACAAGGAGCCGGGAGGGAGCAGAGACAGGACACCGGACCTGAGCTGGCCAAAGGCGTATTCCATCCATACCACAGCACATCGTGCTCGGTACTAGGGGGAGTAAAGAAACCAGGGTGAGTTACTCGGAGGGTTCTCAATTCACCTGTATCTTCATTGACAGGGAAAGGGGCGAAGATGGAAATACCCGTTTAGAAACTAGACAAGGAATTCCCTGTTCCTCGCTTCCATTCTAAGACTGCAGTTATTTTGGAAATGAGAGTGTTCACAGTAGCTTAGGATGCTGAAAGATCTGGAGACTGAAATTCTCTCTCCAGGAAAGCAGTGAGGTCTGCAGCAGGGCAGGGCTCATTGCCCTCCTTTTGTTCTGCAAATACACCTTGGTGAGTTGTGCCCTGAGGGATCCCACTCAGCTCATCACAGCTTTTCTGTTGAGACTGTCAGGGAGGATTTCAGTCGCTGCTGCTGCTCTCCTGGTTTCCCCCGTTTGGACACCTGCCTTGCTCCAATAAATGCATTAGGTTTCTTCATAAATGCTTCCTATTCTAGGTGCAGAGACAGCATTATGAGGGAGCTGATCCAGATCTTGATCTGTCTTGCAAGGTGCTTGTAGCAGGAGTTGCATCGAGTTACCAGACTTGGTGACTTTAGGCCTTCTCTGTTTATGCTGAATGATTTCAAGGCTCAACCTGTTGAGAACAGGCAGAATCTTTATTTGCTCTGCTGCTGATTTGCCCTGGCCGTCGAGCTGAAGGCCTTAGTTGTGTGAGCAGTTGGTCTAAGGCCTGCTCATGGAATTTTCTGCCATGTAAAAATTACGCTGTCTAAAGATAAAATGGAGTTTCTCTCATTAAAGCTTTACAAATGCCCTTTAAATCCTAGTGCTTTTAATGTATGAGACAGCTGTGGATGGCCCAGTGAGCAGCCTGTGCATCCAGCACCTACAGGACAGAATATGTCTGACCTGAGTGGTCACTGTGTGCGGCTGAAAATGAGTGTGGTGTCACAGGAGGTTATTTGAGGATGAACTGAAAATGTTCCAGGACTTGTTTCTGGGGAGGTCTCCCATTTCTAGTGGTGCTCTGTGGACAGGCTCCTGGCCGTGTGTTGTCTGTGCAAGTGTCCAGCAGGCCCCTTCCTCTTCCTTCTTTCTTTATGTCCTTTTAGGGTTCGATTTCAGAACTCTCTGGCAGACATGTGGTACTCCAACTTACTGTTTAACTACAACAGCAGTTTGCAGCAGCTTAGTTTCATAGGTTGTGCAAAGATAGCATTCTTCTGAACCACAGAGTGTGTCTGTTGCCCAAAGGTGACGTCTTTAAGCAGTGTGCCTGTTTAAGTCATGGTATTTCAAACCCTTCTTTTCTTGCAGCTTTGTGTCTCAAAGTGCCCAGGCAGGTTTGTGACCTACATTGATGTTCAGGCTTCCTAGAGATACAAACCCCATCAGTGGAATTAACTTCAAGCAGTTCTGCAAGCCTGGTGTTAGCAGTCCTCTCAAGGTCTGTATGTATCAGGAGGTGATGGAATACTTCCATGTATTACTGTGTATTACATGCATTACTGTGGCAAGTATCCTTTAGTAGTTAAGTGTACTCCACAGCAGTAGAGCAGAGTGTCTCAAACCAGTTCTTAAGACTCCTGTGTTATGTAGAGCTCCTCAGTAATTCAGCTAGGAAAAGAAGTCTGTCTTTCACAGAAGTGATTTTGGACTCAAATGTACTGTGTTATTTCTCCCATCTCTAAACCACCTTGCAATTCAGCTATGTTAGTTGTGTTAAATTCTTACTCTTCTTTAAGAGAAGAGTAAGGGGGAGGCAAGGAATGATTGCCCAGTCCTTCCTGCATTACCTGCTGATCCAGAGTGAACAGATCTTTTTTGTCACTAGAAAAAAATAGTCTTTTCCCAGATCACATTGAGGGGCTGGATTCCTGCATCATGAATGTGTCTTGCAGCTCCACCAGTCAAGTCTGGGGAGGAGGCTACAGAGTCCAGTTTGGGGCTTTTTCTCAGAGTGGGTGAGAAACAAAACCCACGTAGTTATTCTGCTATGTATTCAGCATTCTGATTTTCCCCCTTTTTAGTCTGTTGCTCAAGTCCTACGCGATGAAGATTGTCCTTCAATGATCATTCCAAGCAAGTCTCGTGAATGGATCTATTTCTTACACACATCTTAGCAGGTTGTAAGCATTCACATGAAATCGCAACTCCATTCTGAAAAGTGTTTTGTGGCAAAATCATGAGGAGCTGGCTGTTACCTGTCTGTGGTGTCCCTTCAGTTTTAAACAGTTTGAAAGTATGAAGATTTGTCATTATTTTTTTTAGAGAGCCATCCATGGACACTCGGAGTGTGACTGAGTCAGTCTGAGCTCTTTCTTGCTCTTGAATTATCACCGATAAGAAATGCTTTACAGTGCAAACTGTGCCTTCCAAAACATGTGAGCATCCAACCC